AAAAAAAACCCTGATTAATTTCTTCATTATGATGTTATTAGCTGTGGATAAACAATGATTGCTAGTTTTGAGGTTAGTTCCACTGTAATACAAATTGCAATACCTTGAGAGTAGTCGAAGTGGAAAATTTCGAAAAATTGCACACATCCACAGATGTGGTGGATTTTTTTATTGAATTTTCTACATTGAAACAAAAAAAAATCGGGGTATTTATTGCTGTTAGGTACTTTAAAATGTCAACCGAATATTGAAGTAAGGCGACTTGCAGTTGTTAAATTATTTCGAAGTTTATGGAGTCTGAAGATCTTTTGCCACCGCTTTCCTAGGGTGTTTTGCACCTAATTTCAAGCAGGAAAATATGAAGTTGAGCGCTTTGGAATAAATATGTGCTGCTGAAAGCAATCTAAGCTCTAATCGCTATTGTTTCTTATTATAGATACGCGATGCTGCCGAGCAGGATGCTGAAGCAGCGTCTCAGCGCATGGAAGAAGATGCATATGATCGTGAAAAACAGTTCCAAAGGCAACGTCAACAGCAGCTGAATTTGAATGAGTTCAAAGAGCGACAACAGGTCTGGAATTCTCAATCCTACCTTACTGTTATTTCTTATTGGTAGTGTAGAATACAGGGTCAGGTATCCTTCGTCCCTCTCTTCTCTTTAGCTCAACAAATGTAATAAATGTGTGATTTTTGAGAAAAACGTATTCCTGAAGCTTCCTCCCATCATTCTTGCTTCAGGCTTTACAACAACTCGAGCAAGATATCGGTGATGTGAATCAAATATTTGCTGATCTGGCACGAATAGTTCACGATCAAGGCGATATGGTTGACAGCATCGAAGCGAATGTGGAGCATGCTCAAATTCACGTAGAGCAGGTTAGTATCGTGCCAATGTCGAGTGTCAGACGTACTCCCAAGCAATAGTTCAAAGGCCTGAAGGGCGGTTTTTCATGCGCAACAGCTGCCCCGAGGTGTCACCTGTATCATTCAGTGTTTCCATTAATTTATTAGGTTGAGTAATAAGTCCTTGGACAATATGATAGTGATGATTTCTAGAGATCATAAATCGGGAAAAAGATGACGAAAATGGACACGCGAGGCATCG